CGTGTTAGTTCACCTGAAAGCTGCATAAAGGCCTTTTGAAATTTACAGTTTTGAGTCATTCCCTCTGCCCTACCGTAAATGTTCCTGATATCCTAACTGTAGGGGTTTTGAAGGCTGCTGGATACTGCGAAAACAGAATGCATAACTTCTTTCAAAAGCTTAAATTAATGATGGAATAGCTCCGAAGCTCCTTGATAATTGAATGACGCTTAGAAGAATAAAAAAAGGTGTTGTAAGAATTGCATGGAAATTCGAGAAACCATTAAATTATTGAGATTTTTTATTGGGAAGTTGATATTCACTACACAGTAGTAACCTCTGTTTTTCAAGGGTTCTTAGCGTATAATATTTGCAGTATTTATAAGAATATCATAAATATTCAGTTGTTTGGTAACATACGACACTCGGTTTGCTTTCCTCTTCAGTTGAATTCTTGAGTTTAAGATAGAAGCATGGCTTAAACTTAATTTTTCTGTTTAAATTTATTGGTACTATTTTTGGAAAAAGTTACATGAGAAATAACCAACGGTCAGTATCTGTATCTGTAATTTTTAACGATTAGCTCTTTGACATTTGACAACTCAGTTAGCCTCCTAACGTTTGAGTCTGGAAGCTTTTTGGTGCCATTGACAAGTAACGTAAGTTTTACAGGATTCAGCAATTTAGTACAACGGTTTTCTAGTAGAGCTAAAGTTCTAATTTGTTTTTTGAAAGTTTAAAAGTCTATAAATTATGTTTTACATTCCGGTAAAGAGTTGGCTCATAAAAAGCTTTTGAATCTCAATTTCGTTTGGGGATTAAGTTTTGTTCTTCAACAACAAAATCTCTGTTTAAATTTCTATTTTATAAGTTAAGAAGCGACTCAAATATTTGAGAGTTTTTGTTTAAGAAGTTCTTTAAAGTGTTTAAAACGTTTTTTAACAATTTTTTCCGTGTTTCACCCAGCTGTGTTTGTTGGTGCCGCTTTCGGTGGCCAAACAAACTGCAGGAGCATTGGGATATGAAATTAATCCCATTTTGCCTGGAAATTCTGTAGGTGGGCAACAAATTCTAGATGAAAATAGACATCAAGGGAGGAGGCAGTAGAGACTAGTGGTATTCTGGATGAAGGTATTAGTGAAAATGAACGTATTTCTTGGTCGTTTCACAGTTTCACAGTTTGAACTATCCGAGT